TTACTATATTTAAAATTTTTTATTACACATAATCAAGTTAAACCTAAAATACCAAATCTTCCTTGCCCCAGCCACTACATTTCTAGGAATTTATCCTGAATATGTAGGCACAGACATATATACAAGAGTATTCATTCAACATTGTTTGTAATAAAAGACCAAAAATAACCTAAATGTCAATCAACTGGGAAATTAATAAGTAAAATAGGACACTTCGTATAATGGATTATTATGCAGCCATGAAAACCAGCAGTAACTCTATGCATTCTGACATAGAACTATGTCTAAGATATGCCGTGCTGTTGAGTGAAAAATGAAACTTTCACAGAAGTGTTTCTAAAATGACACCATGAATCAAAATAAACAGAGTGAAAACACACATATTCTACATGCAAAAACACTCAAACATACACATACACATATGGATATGTATGCTTACAAATAAATAGACTATTTTGGAAAGCATACACAATCTGGTAACAATGTTTACTTCAGGGGAAAAAATACTAGACTGTTGGGTGTGAATGTGGGGTAGGTAAGAGCAGAAGAATTTTTTCATTTTTTTTTTTCTGATTCAAATAAGAATCTATGCATCATTAAAAAATAAACTAGTTGATTTTAAAAAATTGCTACAAGTAATCATGCAAAATAGTTACAAGGCGTGATGGCACGGTCCAAGTTCCCTGTGGTCCTAAGTCTAAAAACAGGCATTCTTTATAAAACATTGTACAGAAAAAAAGTATAGAAAATCTCATATCCTGGAGTACATTTTTGTAATTTCCCAAGGCAGGGTTCTTATTCTGGAGTTAGAGGGTCCATGAACTCGGGTGAGAAAAAAACCCTCTTTAAAAAAAAAATACAAAAAACAAAAAACCCCAAACTAACCTTTGGCGGAAAGTTTGCATTTCCTTTGATAGGAATGTAGGCAAGCAGCCACACTAGAGTTAGCAGGATTTGTCACCATTAGAAATCAGGTTTGTGATAGCACATTACATTTGTTGCAGATAATCTTGAAATATTTCCACTTGTCAGTACTTCAAAATTATAGTAGTTATTTATTTGACTTGCTGCTAGATCTTGTTTAATATGTTAAAGGACATTTTTTACTCTATAATAAATTTGTTTTTTCAACATTATAACTGTATTTCAATATAATTGGTTTTCTTTGAAATCCTGTGTCTTTTATCTGATATGTCGACTGTAAGAAGGGGCTTCATCAGATTGCCAAAGGGGTCCGCAAAACAATGAAGCCAAGGAACCTTGGCGTTAAGGTAAATGCCAAAGGGCTGGGGACAAGGAATCACAAATGGGCGCTGTGGGAAGTGTCCCTAGAAGCTGGGAGAAGGGATCCTACCGCTTCCTCTTGATGCCGGGGGCCGATTAATGGCCTGAATATATGAATCAGAGATGTAATTTTTTGTTGCTGTTCCAGTTGGTGGATCCTCCTCCTCCCCAACCAGCTGCCTCCCTGGATCTCCGCCCGGCCGATGCTGGTGGTGTGAGCCCTGGGGCTGATGCCTGCGAATGACAGTGAGCCCGGCTTGCCCTTGGTCCCATTTTAACCTCCTTTTGGGGCACGGCCAGGGTGCTAAGCTCAGCCTCTAAGCAATGCATGTTAGCCTGGCAGGAAACTCTGTCTTGAAGAATTTCAAAAAGTGTGCAAAACTAAGCCCCAATTTCATCCAAGCAGGAGATAGAAAGCTTAGGAGGGAGCAAGACACTGTGGGCAGACACCCTTGGAAAAAGTTAAATGGAGCTCTAGGAGGAATGGGCCACTTGCATGTGCTAGAACATTCTGTTTCTGAACATTTTGAACTGAACTGCTCATTGGTACAACTTTTATAGCACAATTGCTGCTCTCGCACCAGAGAGGGGCACTTGAGTGTTCGTTCAAAGGGTGGTCAGATGAGCTGCAGGTGGGTGTGCCCAGGAGTATGCTGTTGATAGAGTCCTAAGAGCAGAGCCTGTCAGTGTGGACAGATTCTACTGTATCCTGAGCTGACTCACGTGCTGTCATGCCAGGAGGGGTGATGATGGCTGGGGTGAAGATGGCCCTCCGCCTGCACTGATTCCAGTCTCACAAGTCCTTAAAACACAGCTCACTTTCCTTTTCCTCCCCCAAATCTTATTTCAGCCCACTCTTCTTTCTGTCTCCTCTGCATTCTGGAGGCACCCATCATTCAGATGGCACCACTTAGCTTGTGCTGAAATTGATCCATTCCTTCATTTAATCATTTATTCCCTAAGTATTTAGTGCTGGCCAGCCATAGATTCAAATCCCAGCTCAGCCACTCACTTGTATCATCAGGGCAAGTAAAATAAATGAACACTTTAAAAAAAAAATTTCAGACCCACATTTACAAAACTCCTGCTTCCCACAAAATACACACATGGTAAGTCACATTTTTCCTTCTTAAATGGATGATGACTTTGCTCTCTCATCATGAATCTTTCTCTGGACTGTTGAGGCTGTTCGTGCCAGTTTCTCTTTCCTCTCCATCTCAGGCTCTGGCATGAAACTGGGGTACTATTGGATGTCCACACTATAAACACCCTTATTCCAGGTTTTAAAACAGGGAGACATTTTTATTGTTCAAATTGAGACACTTTTGAAAATAAGAAAGGGTTATTATGCTAATTATAATTATGCTTTGATAATAGGCATAAAAGGAGACCATCTCAGTGAAATGGGACATATGGTCACCCCGTTAGAGAACAGTGATATATTACCCAACAGAAAGACCCAGTGTGTCTTCAGAGCATTCACAAAGCTGGGGCGCCGGTATTTTTGGTGAAATAATTTGATGTTAAAGAAATCAAAGTTACCTGCATGGAAAGAATCAGAATATTGTTGGCCTTCCTTACATTTATTTTAGGGCTCTATGCATATGTGTGTGTTTGTGTGTGTGTGTGTGTGTACATGTTTTAATTTATAATTTTATTATTCCTTTTTCAATACCTTAGGCCTTTAGAGGTCTCTATCTGGCTCTGCTATAAAGTCACTGGAATAGTTTTCTCTTTTTCTGCTTCTGCAGGGATCAACTCTGACCATATCCCTCTCAGAGGTGAGAGGCAAGTGACCAGGGCTAGTAGGGTGAGGGAATGTGTGAGGGCCAATTGGCAATGGGACAGTCTCCCCCAGAGGCAGGTGGAATGGCAGTCTTTTAATAAAGAATGAAGAGGCCATCCATTTTCTAGATCCTACCTTGTGTCCACACGGGTCTTCACCTAGCCAATCCCTCTTCACTGGCTTCATGACCAGGTCCAGATCGGCGTTTTGGTTTTAGAATATGAGTCTATGACAGTCTGTTTGTAATGAACTTGTGGTAGTTTCAAGGAATGATATAAACCACTTAACCCCTCTAAGCCCATTTCCTTATTTGTTTACCTATTAATTTAATTTTTTTTGAGATGGAGTTTTGCTTTGTCTGCCAGGCTGGAGTGTAGTGGTGCAATCTTGGCTCACTGTAACCTCCGCCTCCCAGGTTCAAGTGATTCTCCTCCCTCAGCCTCCTGAGTAGCTGGGATTACAGGTGCCGCTACCATGCCCGGATAATTTTTGTATTTTTAATAGAGACAGGGTTTTACCATGTTGGCCAGCTTGGTCTTGAACTCCCGACCTCAGGTGATCCATCCACCTTGGCCTCCCAAAGTGCTGGGATTACAGGTTTGAGTCACCACGGCCGGCCCCATTTCCTTATTTATAAAATGGGCAAAACGTGAATACCTATCTGATGGGCCGTGGGAGGTTCAAGTACTAGAAGAAGTCTGGTACACACTGTGTGAATCCTATTGGTCATTGCTTTTTTTTTTTTTTTTGAGACAGAGTCTCACTCTGTCACCCAGGTTGGAGTGCAATGGCGTGATCTCTGCTCACTGCAAGCTGTGCCCCCTGGGTTCACACCATTCTCCTGCCTCAGCCTCCCGAGTAGCTGGGACTACAGGCGCCCACCACCATGCCCAGCTAATTTTTTTGTATATTTAGTAGAGACAGGGTTTCACCATGTTAGCCAGGATGGTCTCGATCTCCTGACCCCATGATCCACTCGCCTTGGCCTCCCAAAGTGCTGGGATTACAGGCGTGAGCCACCGGGCCCGGCCAGTCATTGCTATTTTTATGGAGTTTACTATGTACACATCCCTGGGCATGAAGGACAAGAAGACAATTTGAACTTCGACCCTGCAAAGGTCTGCAGCCTGGCAGTGCTGCAAAAGTTGTGCACATCAGCCTTTATCCCCAGAGAGAAATGTGACAAGCACCACAAACCAGGGATAAAGGGAGTGATTACTGATGAGGAAAAGGGTGGGATCCAGGAAGACTTCACGAGAAAGGTGTAAACAGAACCACATGTTTACAGATGAGCAGGAATTGGATATTCAGAGGGTATGAGAAACACACTGGTGGGAGAGGGAACAGATGCACAGAAAAAAGAAAATGCAAAGTGTATTTGGGAAGTGGCAAATAATTTTCAATTGAGTGCACTCTTAATTCTTCTTCTGGGCTCTGCAGTGTTCATTCATTCATTCAGCTTGTGTGAGCACCCGTGTTAGGCAGAGATTTGGTCACTGCTTAGAAGACGTTCACAGTAGGTAGAGGAGAAAGAGCAGTCAGGAGATTGCTGGAGAGAGCCCTGAGAAGAGTAGCCTTAGGGCTTCCCTCTTCATGGGACCCTATGCGGCCTCAGCAGGGGCCCTGCAATGCCCCCACCATGGCCACACAAAGTTTTCAGAAGTAAGGTGTATTAATGACATTGGTTATTCCCCTTATTTAAATATTATTCCCATTTCTCCTTATGTAGGTGGTTAATATAGGGGCCATGGACATTTTTGGGAACCAGCTAAGAGCCGAGTTAAGATAGATTTTGTTTGGGTTCTGTTGAATATATGTATGTGGTTTACAGTCTTTTCTTTCTGTGTAGCTAGGTCACCACTAGCCACAGGAACTGCAAAGTGAAAAAACAGCTTCTAGAAATACTCTCTTGCCCACGATGCCAACTCACCTGATCTTGTGGCATCAAGAGGCAGGACCAGAGGCAGATTCATGATGGAAGAGTGTCCCCTTGGTGCTGGCACCACACGTAGGTGGGTGGGTGGTGGTGAATCCAGGTCTGAAATGTATGCAGCCAGAAACTAAACTGTAAAAAAGTGCTCTAAATTTTATGTGTTTCTCCAAATTTGATAAAAATCTGAAAAAGTATGTGATATTACCCATAAGTTGTGAAGCTGAAAAAAATCTTCTAAAGCATCAATAATATAAGAGAAATTTTGACTTATCTTGCTAGAGGAACGACCCAATTATTTTTATCTTCTTTATGGTCTCACCAGGATACGGTGCCTCTTGGTTGCTGAATGACGGGCAGCCACATGCTTTTTCTTTCCTCCTCAGAATAAACTCTGGCTTCCCCAGTTTCCTTCCTGCACTTCCTTAAATCAGGCTCAGAGCCCCACTTCTAGGAGAGCTCCAAAGATGAACCCATCTGACTGCCTGCATTGCATCCATGTTCTGTCACTGATCAGCTGGGTAACCTGAGGAAAATCACTCAATCTCTCTGAGCTTCTATTTCCTCATCTGTAAAATGGGGACAATACCAGCGCCCACTTCACAATCCTGTGGACAGGTATGAATAAGGGAATACAGAGAAATAACCCCTAACCAGCATGGAGAGCACAGTAAGCCTGGCATTCAATGAGACCTAATAAATGGTAGCTATTAGTATTACTATTATCAAATGTGGTTAGGAAGCACAGTGACTGCAGAAACATTCTGCAGATATGGCAGGAAGCAATTTCCCACTGCTGCCCGGCAGACATCAGTTATTTTTACTAGCCACACACACACTCAGGTAAAGGCATTTCCTACATAACATATCTTAATAGGCTCATCCATGATGGCACTGCAGCTACACACGCACCTGCTGGCATTTCTGTGAGCCGTTTTGCTCCAGCAGGGGTGGGTGCCTCTATGACGGGCCCCACCATCCTGTCGGACCTGGCAGGCATAGCTCTGCACACATCATTCTTCCCCTCCCGGCCCCTCTGCCCCAGACAGCCGAATCTCACAGCAAAGCTGAGGCTAACTCATTCACCCAGCCCTCCTTCCTTCTCTCTTGCCCTCACTTCTTTCCTTCCTCCCGTTTTCCTCACAAATATTTGTTGTGTCTAGCCGCCATGGTGTCTTCTATGATTCCAAGACTTTAGGAGACTCAGTAAAGTTTGAAAAAAATTTCTGAAAGGGACTGACATAGGGTACTAACTTTTAATTTTGCCAAGTAAGATATCAACACACACACACACACACACACACACACACATGCACACACATACACACACACAGAAACGCACACTGTTGCCACTAATTACCATCGTTCCATCAAAGAAGTGCTATTTCAGTGTCCCCAAATAGAAAAGACACAGTCTTTAGAAGAAAAAGACAATCGTGTATATGACATACATTTATTTTTTAAAGGAACACAACATTTTCCTAACTTTTTTTCTGATTTGTCATAAGCCAGTAAAATCTCTGGGTGCCAGGTCTCAGATAAATGTTGGAGAATAAGTTTACTGACAACAGGAATAATATAATGAATGTTTATTGAGTGCCAAATGTGGTATTTGATAGACTCTACCGTTTACTAACTGTGTGATCTTGGGCAAGGTACTGAACCTCTCTGAACTCTAGTTCCCTCACCTGTAAAGACAGGGATGACGATGCTTGCTCTGCAAAGCCTTCCAGGGGTTTCTAGGCACGGGGAGGACTTGTGTGGTGCTGGCTGCATAACAGTCGCCAGGGAAACTTGTTAAAACTAAGATTCTTGGCGCTACAAGGAGAGAATCTGATGCAAGAGATCTACAATGGGGCCCAAGGACCTACACCTTTAAAAACAGCCCCTCCTCCAGATGTTTCTGATGAACAGCTAGGTTTGGGTAGCTCACAGCCCCTGACTTTTGAGTTGGACCTGTCTACTCAACTTACGTGTGTGGCAGATTGTTCCTAGCATGGTGTGTTCAGAGGAAAATCTTGGGAGGTATCTTGTTTGCTGTGTTCAGCCTCCCCCCTCCCACTCTGTTCCCCTTCTCAACAAATGGTACCTCCATCTACTTAGAAACCCCAGGGTTATTCTGAACACATTTCCTCTCTCACGGACTCTCCTATGCTGTCACCAACTCATCCCCAGGTCCTTGAAGCTGTCTGCTTCTCCACCTCCACTGCCCAGCCTGGTCTAGGTCATCATCATCTCTCACTGCCACTGCAAAGCCTCCTACCTGTCTCGTCTGAAGTGTATGCTCCACACAGTGGCTGCAGTCACTTTTAAAAGATGTGATTCAGACAGTGTCTTTCATCTGCTTCAAACCCTGCTGTAGTGGCCAATGCACTTAAGATAAAAATCTAAAGTCCTTAATGTGGCCTAAAAGCCCCTGCATGGCCCGGCCTCTGCCCACGCCTCTGTCCCTGACACGCACCTGCCTCCCTTCTAATTCTCTGGGCTCTGTTAGTTCTCCACTCTCTCTGGCCTCAGGACTTTCAAGTGTGCCCCTCCTCCTGCCCACACCTTTCTTCCTCTATCAGCTGCCTTCACTGAATTAGCTTCTCCACACTGTTGAGGGTTCTACTTAAATGTCACTGCCTCAGGGACCTGTGATGTACTAACCCCTGTTTTAGAATTCTAGCAGCATCACACTCCTTTTCTTCAAGTCACTTGTTGCAATTTATGTTCACGTTTGTTTGTGCATGTGTGTTTCTCAATATATCTGTGTTCCCCACTGGAGCCAAATTCTATGAAATATTAACTATTTTGCTCACCATTATATCGTCAGTGTAATGCCTGGACACGGTACCCACTGAATAGATACATATTTATTCGGTGAATGGATGAATGAGTAAAGATGCGAACCCACATCACCAGAAGGGCAAGGTCTCTCCCACTTTTTCTTTCTGGTTGGGGTGACTGACAAAATGTCCAATCCTGAGAGACCCTTGTCATACACAGTACAGGAGAACATCGAGCCGTGAGCTAGAACATGGATGACCCACCCTGATATGTCACGGGTTGGTTATTTTTTCAGGAGTGAGCAGGCAGTGGAAGAAAGGCAGCTTTTGCAACAGAAGCATTGTTACTAGTTCTTGACAGTGTGGTTCTGGGTTTCCTGGAGAACATGTGCTACGAAAAAAGGTTGCTAAAAGACAGCAAAAGGGCAAGGCATTTCCTTGGTGTGGTGGAACAGGTATGGGTCTGTTCTGACAGTCCTGGATTCAACTTTTGGCTCTATGACTTACTTGATGTGTGACCTCGGACAGGAAGTTTTACCTCTCTGAGCTTCAGTATATTCGTCCATAAAAAAGGAGCAGTTACTTTTGCCTGTTGGGGTAGCTGTGAGGATTAATGAGATAATGTCTGTAGGAGGCCTAGCAGAATGTCTGGTACATAGTGTGTATCCAATACTGAATACAATCTCACCAGGCTGTAAGCCTCCTTCAATCAGGGGCCATGTTTGCTTTTGGCTTGATAACCCAGCATCTGGTGCAGTGCCTGGCATGTAGTAGATGCTTTAGGAAGTCCTTATTAGTGATTTAATACATGGTCAAATGGGTTTTACTTTAGCAGCATTTCCCTCTTCCAGGAAGGATTCCCATGTGTAAAAATTTCCCCCTTGCCAAGTACTCAAACCAATTGATTTCCTTGTGGGCAACTCAAATCCCTGTGTTTTGAAGTCTCAGAGCTGGAAGATGAATGTGTGTTTGTGGGGGTGGTTCTGTCTTGAGTCATCTCTGAGACCCTTATGCTTGCAGAAGGTGGAAATTTGTCAGTCCCCATTTGAATGAAAGGGCTGGAGGATCAGATCAATGGAGAAAGGGATTCCTATTTTGTTCCAATACTATAGAGAACACAACTGTTTCTTTGAAATTGACCTTCATTTATTTGGAGGGGAAAGCAGTTAGTTCAATAATGGCTTCCTGGTGCCTTCCAGCATTTTAAAAGACAGAAGAAAGATTTGGAGCAAGGCAAGGTTCCAGTGTTTTCTAAACAACTCACTAAGCCCAGCTACTGGTTGGCTGCCGAGCACTTCCTGCTACCAGCCCTGCGTCCCCCAACTTCCCCTACTGCTGCAGTGCACATCCTCAATAGCTCAGTCACTTCTTGAGACCCTGACCAGGTCTTCCCCAGGTGGGCTGGAAGTTAGTCTTCATTCTAATGCTGGGCAGCTGAAGATTCTCTGACATCTTGCAAATGGCTCATGGAGTAAGAAATACTACTATATTCTATTTCAATTATTTCCTGTCCCTCCCTGGCCTGTTTCCAGGGGCCAAATAAAGAGGTCCTTGTTTGGTGGAGTCCATCCCTGCTCCTGAGTAAGTGAGCACTGGTCCCTGGTCCAACTTGGTCTGAGGCCACAGGGAAAGGGTGGGGAGGACATGGGGGAGGGTGTCCCAGGTGGGGAGAGGGCAGGAGGAGACAAGAGGCCCTGCTCTGCAGGCAGCCCAACCCTGCTCCCAGAAATAAAAATAAGAGATGAAGAAAAACAAATGAGGCCCCTGAACAGGATCCTGTAGGGGGCACAGCTATTTTCCCTCCTTCCCAGGAGAAATCCCAACCCTTCTCTCCCATGGAGAAAACAAACACAGCTATGGAAATCTTGTGCCATCCTGGCACCTGAAAGTCTATCACCAATTGGAAGTTGCTCCTACCTGCACTTCTCCCTTTGCCAAACACAGTCCTCTCCCACATCTGCTTCCTCCCCTTATGAGTGAAAAGGTTTTCATGGAAAATTTAGAATTTGGAACCTTCTTCAGATTCCAAAGAAGTTATTGTTCTATATCATGCTACTTTTGCTTGGGTGTTATTTCAACTCAGAGGAAGTAGAAACCTACATCTCTATTTTGCTGGAATGCTCTTCCTGAATCATTAAGAGAACAATAATTAAGTACCCTCTCTGTTTGAAGCTCTTGAGTACTTTTTGAAGCCCATCCCAAACCCAAGTCCTAGAGTTCACATTCCCCACCTTATCCGTTCGGTTTTCAGGGAAGAAGGATGTTGATGGGGTTGGCTCAGGGACAAATCATTGGACGATCTCTGGGAGATCATCGCATGATAGTCAAAGTTTTCATTGCCAGAAGAGAAACAAGATAGCATCAGGGTGGCAAGAACCTCTCACTTTCTATTGTGTGGAAGCTCAGGACCTGAGATGCTAGGGGGACAAGGTCTCAGAAAGGCACAGACAGAAAGGAGAGAGACGATGGGGGTAATATGAGTGAGGAGAAACTGAGGGTGGGCTTGATGACTTGAAGAGCAAGACCCAGAGAGAAGCCACATCATCTCACACTACGATGTGGCTGGGAAAGGTCTGAGGTCGGCAGCATTTAAAACCCTGGCTTCTAGGGTGCTGGGGCCTGAAGGAAACAGAGACATTTTTTGGCCAGTGATTCTCAAAGCCTGGTCTGTGGACTACCTCTTCAGAATCATCTGGTGGGCTGATTACACCTTCAGATTCCTGGGATCCTTCTGACTTACTGAATCCTATTCACCGGGGGTTCGGCCCAGGCAGCTACCATTGTTTATTAAGTTTCACAGGTGATTCTAATAGTTATCAAAGTTTGAGATCCCTTAAGCTGATTCAATCCCCTCTTCACCAGATATGAGACCTGAAGCCCAGAGAAGCAAAGCAAAAAGCCTAGGGCCGTAGAGCTAATTGATGGCAAAGCTCAAATGGGAACTCTGTTGCTCCTGATCACCGGAGCTGTGCTCTTCCCATTTCAATATGCTGGAAGCCTCCTTACCTGTTTGGAGCTATTTCCCCTGCCCCTAAAAGCCAAAGTCTGCACCTTTGATCCATTCCTGCATCCTGCTGAGGCCTTCTCCTTCCTGAGCATGCTCTGGTCACAGCCTCTGCAGGCTGGAGAGCAGGGGCAAAGGAAGAAAGGAGAAAGACTCAGTTCTCTTCCAAGACTTTAGTAACAGGTGTGAGATTGGCAAATGAGTAGAGAAAGAGAAAAGACACAGTTATACTGAAGGGGAGATTGGGGTTTGGTTTGTACTGCTCATAGCTAACTTACATTGAGCATCTGCTATATATCAGATACTGTGCTAAGTCCTTCCTATACATTAGTGCAAACTCCATGGAGCAAATATTAATTAGCCCCATTTTGTAGATGAAGAAACTGAGGCTCATACAGGAGTAGTCATTTGGCCAAGGTCATATGGCTAATGGGAGGCCAAATCACCTCCATCAGCTCCATGTACAACCATGATCTTTGTAATGGCCCAATGCCGTGTGAACTGTCATCCATTGTAAACCCAACAAGCCTGTGAAACAACCCTGAGACCTTGGGAAAGAAAAGCAAGCTTCCCTGCAATGGTATGTGATCACGCCTGGGGAGTAGAACTTTTTCAAACGCTTTCCACTTAACACTAACCACTGAAAATATTTCTGAAAGGTGTTAGCCTGCAGGCCTGCTTTAGAAAAGATGACATGGAGAAAAGGTTAGACGGCTTTTGAAAATCTTTTTCTTTTTTTCTTTCTTTTTAAATGGAAACGTGATATCCGTTTGCTTCCTTTCCATTTGCCTTTTTCTCTTGAAAGCATTGTGTCTTCAGAATTTATAGCTGCTTGAGGGATTTGGTTATATTTGGGTCTGACCTGAGACTCCAGTGTGATTGTAGGCATATGTGATCCGTGGCATGTAGCAGCTGTTACCACTCCTGATATCATGGCACATGACTGTGTCATGATAACCTCCCTCTCTTCATTTTCTGTAGTGTCCCCCAGGGATAGGAGAAGGAATCAAAGCAGATCAGTGCCTCAGAGGAAGGACAAGAGTTTCCCAGGCCATGTGGACAGCATGTGACGGATGCCCCCTTTTAGGGTTTACCTGCTAACCAGGCCTTGACTTCTTCCTTAGAAAACATCAGGTAACCTTTTGAACAATTCAGTTAGTGGGACCACCAAACAAAAAGAAGATGAACACGTTTTCATAAGAGGGGGAGGACGCACTGAATTCCATCTTACCAGGATTAGGTGTCTGTCAGCTAAGGTGAGGGGCAACTATAAATTGGTTCTGGGCATTCCATAAATCACCAGAGTTAGAAATATTTTTGGGTAAAAACTAAAAATGTGTGACCCTGTAGTCATCTTCTCTTTCATATCTCAAGCTTTCAATAACTTAAAGTCTGCTTGGGGCTGTGTGGCTGTAAAATGCTCGTATTAACTGATAATGAACGTAGTATATATGGGTGATAGCTGTCAGTGAAGAGGGGAGGGAGAGAATGCAGCCTCTGCAAAGCTCTTGAGAAGTGTGGCTTCTGCACTAGCCCTGGAAATGCTGAATGAATGCTGCCTTTCTGTGTATGAGCTGCCTCCCTGCTTCCCAAATGCCGCATCTGCAGTAACTACAAACTATTTTGTATGCTGCATTAGTGACGCTGCCTTAGCCGACACATCATTACTACTGAAATAACGCCGAAGTGATATTCAAGTCCAGTGTCCTTTTTAATTATTAAACCGAGGCTGTTGAGTGAGTCATTCCCCATACTAGATTTTCCTTCTGTGGTTCTATTTCTAGAAGCTAGTACCTTAGCGTGTTCTACTAACACCTGAGTTGGTTTTTAGCCAGCTCCCCAGTCTGCAAAGCCTTTGCAGAACAAACAATATTATTCAATCTCCAAACACGCACAGACTGCATAAGAAACAAAACCCACAAAAAACTTTAGAGTAAGCTCATCAGTAAACCCAAGGTCCAAAAATGCCCAGTTCCCCTCCTGCTAGTCCCCAACTTACCAAGCGGTAGAGCGATGAAGAAGGGTAGCCAGCACAAGATGAACATACCGACCACAATGCCCAACGTCTTAGCTGCTTTCTTTTCCCTGGAGAACTTAAAAAGTTTGACAGCTATGGAACTCCTGGGGTTGTGGCCCTTGGCCTTGGTACTGCTGAGGGTGTCCTCGTGAAAGTTCTTGGAGTGGATCCTCAGGGTCAGCTCCTTGGAGTTGGACATCTCCTTCATGACTCCTGCCTCTAGGTTCTTGGTGGTTCTCTTGGCCACTATATAGACACGGCAGTACATGACTAGAATGACCGCCAGAGGGATGTAGAAGGAGCCCAGGGAGGAGAAGAGGGCATAGAAGGGTTCTTCGGTGACCCCACACTCCTTATCATCGTTGGGTGCGGGCTCCTTCCACCCAAGGAGAGGCCCGATGGAGATGACTGTGGACAAGACCCAGACGCTGAGCAGCGCCAAGATGGCCTTCCTCCGGGTGACCAGCGTGGGGTACTGCAGAGAGTAGCGCACCCCGATGTAGCGATCGATGGAGATGGCACACAGGCTCAGAATGGACGCTGTGCAGCACAGGACATCCACGGCTGCCCAGATGTCACAGAAGATCCGCCCCAGCACCCAGTAGCCGAGCACCTCTAGGGCCGCTGAGAAGGGCAGGACGGTGAAGCTCAACAGCAGGTCGGCCATGGCCAGGTTGACGATGAAGTAGTTGGTGGGCGTCCGCAGGTGCCGGTTGCAGGCCACAGACAAGATGACTAGGATGTTGCCCACGATGGCGAAGAGGATGAAGGCGCCCAGCACCAGGCCCACAGAGATGGCCCTGGTGATGTCCAGCTGGGGCAGTGTGGAGTTGCTCGAGGTCTGGTTGGGGCCAGTGAAGTTGGCATTTTTCAACTCTCCCCAATGGGCAGGTGCTGATGTGTTGTGGCCGGTGTCCAGATCGGGATTCATCTTAGAGTTCGCCCTCCATAGCCAGGGGGATGATTAGGCTCGGAAGGGCTGCGGCGAAGGCTCCTCAGCTGCCCTGAAACTTTGCTTCCCCCGTGGTCTTCTTCCCAGAGGCGCCCTTCTGGCGTGGAGTCATCTCCCCCGGGCAGCCCAGCCCGGCAGCACGTCTCCTGCCTGCACCGAGCCGCGCGCTCGCCTGTCAGAGGGAGGCGGAGGAGAGAGAGGGTACGAGGCGGCAGCTCCAAGTTTAATGGTCCACGTCAGGCGCGCCTGGCCGGGCTCGCGGGGGAGCGGCGGGGAGGAGGGGGCGGCAGGGCCGGGGGCGCCCGGCGGTGCCCGGCTTGCGCGGGTCTGCGGACCGTGGCGCGTCCTCCGCCCAGCGAGCGCCGAGGAGGGTCTGCTTTCAATGAGCCGCCTCTGGGCTGACTGCACGGCGGTGACATCAGGCGGGGGAGCCCGGCGCCCTGACTCCGTGCGGCACTAGGGGGCAATGCGGGTCCAGCCAAGGCGCCCGCAGCCCCGACGCCGCCACCCGGGCAAGCCGGGAGGCCAGCCGCGTCCCCCGCCGCTCCCAGGGCGCGCCCCCTGCGGGGGGCTGGAGGGGAGGCAGGGGCCGGGAGGGCGGGACCTGGGCGTGGAGATCGCGGGTCACCCACCCCCTAGGCGGCCCGCTGGCGTTATTTTCCCCGCTAGTCACTCTTCCTTGTCAAAGGTGGGTTGGGGGCTGCCCCTGTAATCGGGGCTCCTGGAGTCAGGCCCCGGATTTAACGGGATATGCAAATTGTCCGGCACCTAAAAGAGGGAAAGAGAATTGTAGGGTTAGGCAGGTGGGAGGGACTTGAGTCGAATCTGAGGCCAGCACTCATCCTTCATCTCGCTCCCCTCGTCCCGTGCAAACTCTTTGGCCCCAGTAAAATCCGGCTTCTCTTCATCTTTTCATTCGCTCAGGCATTCACTCATTTATTCAGCCGATTGTTACTGAGTCTCCACTCTCTGCCCTGGCTCTAGGCGCTGTGGACATAGCAACTGAACAAAACAGACGGACTCCTGCCCTCTAGGAGTGTACCTTCTCCCCACAGAAGACAGACAGTAAACTAAATAAGCAAATGATGAGGTGTGTAATGTGATGACAGGTGTTAGGCTGAAATAAAGTAAGGAGAGGGAAATACAGTGAGGCGTTTGTAGGGTGGATTTGAAATGTTAAGTGGGTACTTGGGAAGTCACTGAAGTGATATTTGAGGAAACCTGAAGGGAATTGAGGGAGGAAGCGAGCTGCTATCTGGGAGTGGGGGTGAGGGAGGTCAGAGACCTGGGGAAGGGACATAGAGTATCTTGGTTATTTGTTAAGTTTTTTCCTTTCTGTCTGAGATCCAGGTTGGACATTCAGTCAAAGGGATGCACTCCCAAAGGTGGGTGAATGGTACTTAGAAGAGAAAGTATGGGGAAAGAAAGAAAGAAAGAAAGAAAGAAAGAGAGAGAGAGAGAGAAGGAAGGAAGGAAGGAAGGAAGGAAGGAAGGAAGGAAGGAAGGAAGCCAAAGAACTTTATGTTAGTTCACATTTATCCAACAATTATTATGTCCTAGACAGTGTGCTGAGTTCTTTTTGCGTTTTCTCATGACTCTCATGAGATAAAGAATATACTCTGCATCATTTCTATTTCATGGATGGGACACCAAATTACAGAGAAGTTTAGCTGTTTGCCTAAGTTCACAAAGCCATGGAGGAGAGCTGCTGGGAAATGAACGCAACTGTGGGGTCTCTCCCAAAGTTGGATACTCAGCTACTGTGTCACAATTTTCCCCCTGGGGCAAGGTAGGGGATGGAACCACTGTTGTAGATGGAGCTGCCTTTTGAGTAGTTAATTTTGGGGACTGAGTCATTGGTGCTGGGCAGGGACTCCCATGAATTGAGCGCTTACTGATACCCATGCATTTACTCATTTTCTTTGACTCTTTACAATTCTTTGAGAGAAGCATAACCATTGTTCATTGACAGATGAGAAATAGTGGTTCAGAGAGAGTCAGTTGATTCCTGAGGTCATAGGCTAGCAGATATACGGCAGAGCAATGGGTAGTGGCAGCTGGAGATTGAAAAGTAAAGCCTGATACCTTCTTTTACTCCAGTTCACAAGCCTGCATCTTGGGTTTCTCATCTTCTGCTCTTGATAGTCGTTATAACTTGATATTCACGGGTAGGGAAATCAGAAGTCACTCAGGGTGACTTACATCTAAGCTTCTCAATGTAGAGGTAAGTTCTTAACCTCTTTTTATTTTTATTTTTTGAGAAGGGAGGCAGGTGGTTATCACAGACCTTTCAAAGGTTTTAATTTACTCCCAGCAAAATGCACAGACTCTAGAAATGTGCAAAATACACAATTTCAGGAGGTTTCCCTCGGGTTAAGAAATCTATGGTAGAGACAGCCCTGAAAATAGATTTTTTTTTCTATTATAATTAAATTGCCCTAAGCTGTATTTGAAAATTTGAAAATAAGAGATTCACAAGTTTATAATGATTTAGATCTTCAGACGCTCTCAGAAGCCTGGTTTGCTTATCTTCCTATGTTGGAGGTGGTGTACTAGGGAAACGGACCTGGCAAGCCGGACAGGTGCAGAGCTGGTTAGCGAACTCTGTTTCCCTGGCCTACAAGACAGTGCTCCTTCTGCTACTGCAGCCACTCATGACCTACACGGTGGGGTGTGAGACTGGAATAACTTGGCAGCCCTCGGCCAGGGGTCTGTATGCAAAGAAGAGGCTGTCCTTGGTCCTGGGTGGCTCAGACTAGTCTGTCTGCAGATAGGAGCCAGCTTAGATGATTTTTGAGATCCTGTAGCTCCAGGTGGTCAGCTTCTCTTGCTGGATAAAGTGGCCCCTGAAGGCACCTGCTGTCCTTTCTCTCATGTATTTTCCAGGGAAGGGGTGAGAGTGAGGTATCATGAACTCAGTTCCCACCATTCCCAATGTATTTTCAAGTCTAAGATAATGGGGCTTCTTTTGAGGTGGTTTACTTACAAGGGGGGAGGGAGGAGGAAGAAAATACCAGTAACCTGGCATGTAGCTGGCATTAGCACAAAGACAGGGGTGTAGGGGAGGGTAAGGGTGGGATAGAATAAAGAGCAAGTTCCAAATCCACATTTTGATTGTGGTGGCCCATTTCCCACTTCCCTGGGCATTAATTTCACCAGCTATTGAACAGCCAGCAACACACCATTGAATTTACTGAGGCTGTGTCTACATAATCACAGTAACCAGCTGCAATGTGAAAACTCAGCCTATCAGACATTTTTCTGTGGTGGCAAAAGGCCAGGAGGAAAAAAAGAGCAAATCTGAGATTCAGAGATGGTTTATCCTCATTGTGAAAGAAAATAGTTTGTTACCTAGATGAGAACTTATGTCTTGATTCAGGTGTCAGGATGTGGAAGAAATTATTGAGCCAGATTGACAAGTTCAAAATCCTTGCAGGTTTCAGACTTGTTGTCATTTACCAGTGTCTTTCGTGAAGACAAAACAAAGATCTCATTGTAAGAAGAACAGGTATTAGCCTTAATAGCAGCCATGTAGCAGGACCCCACTCAGCAACCTTTGCTAATGGTGCTTTCCTTGCTGCTCCTCCCCTCCCTTTGCTGGAGATGCCTCTTAACCCTTCTGGCTGATTTTTGACCCATGGACTTGACCATTTGTTTAGGTGTCATGAGAATACAGACGATATTTCATTTTCTCGGTACTCCCTGGGGCAAAGCCAAGCACAGAGCTCTGACTCACTCGACGCTTGTGGAAGAAGAATCTTTTCATTATCCGTCTTATTGCATTAGAAACCTCTGATGTTGCAGAACTCCCGTTTCTGTGAACCCTCCAGGGGAAGCTGCCACTGAAGTTGACCTGTAGGGAAACTGAAGCTATGGGAGATTCAAGGATCTGCTTAAGATATCTATGGGAGGAGATCTGTCATCTGTGATCATGCAAATTTTCATGGTGCTCTCTCTAGCTTGCAATTTGACCAGGCTTATAGGGAAGCATGTACTCTGTGTAAGCACCATGCTAAGTACCGTGGGTGAATCAACACTGAGCTAGGTGCTGTGGGAGATGATGATAACGCTAAAGCACTTTTAAGAGGGTACCTACTGTGTGCCAGGCACTGTGTTAGGCAATCTATGTGCATTTCCTCAACTATTCACAACAGTGCAAGGGAGGAATTCTTTCCATTTTACAAATGAGGAAACTGAGGTTCAGAGAGGTTCTGTGACATGGCCAAGGCCATTCGGTGAGTAAGTAGCATTGGTATTCAAAGCATTGTTGTCTGGCTCCAAAACTTGCATCCTTCTCTCTGCACCAGACTGAGATTAAAACAAGAAAAAGGCAGCAGAAGGCTCAATGTTAGCCTGAAGGAAATAACAGCAGAAAACAGAATGTGACCAGGGTCCTGAATAAGGCAGAGGTCAGGGAGGGGAGGGCAAGGGAGAGCTGTCTGGGAGAAAATGTTCCTCCGTGGAGCACCTTAGGTTAGTCTTCCTTGCCTTCCAGGCCAGCACTTGATCTGCTGAGGGAGTTGAGAGCTAACTTGGATTTTAACTGCACTTCTGTCATTTAATGTTTACTGTGACTCTGGGCAGGAGAGTGAAGTGATGAAGAGCCTGGATCAGACATACCTGGGTTTATGTCCCACTTCCACTAATTTATTAGCTGTGTGTTCTTGGGCAAGTCACTTAACCACTCTGGGCCCGGTTTTCTCACCTGTGAAATGAAGATCAGAATAGTTCCTAGCTCTACAGGACTATGGTGAGGATGACATGTGAAAATGTGTGTAAAATGCTCAGCACAGAGTAATAGTAATACTATCTGCTAGGAGTTAGTGCTTGCTAGGTGCCAGGCGTTGGGCCCAAAGTGCCTTCTGTATATTATCTTATTTAATCCTAATGATAACATTATGAGGTAGGTACTATTATTATTGACATTTGATAGATGAGGAATCTGAGGCCCAGAGTGGTTAAATGACTTGCCCGAGGCCACAGGACTAACAAGTGGCACAGCTGAAATACAAAATACCCAGTAAATGAGGCTAAACCCAAAAAAGGAATTGGAGGAGTGAGGCATCTGCTTTAGGAGGTACACTAGGGCCTGTGGGGACTCGAAGGATAATTTTTGTTCCAGCTGTACCCTGGTGAGAGGATGAGATGCATTCTTTCTTCTGGGTGGGGTACATTAACTAGAGCAAAGCCTTCTCTTCTACCTCCGAAGGCAGAAGGTCAGAGGCTCCCAAGAGGGAGGAATTTCAGCTCCTTCTGGAAAGGACTGTGTTTTCTCTGTGGTCATTACAACTTGTCACTCTCTGGTGAGTATGCGTTCCCCCAACCCAGAACTTCCAGTCATACAGCACTCCCTGGTAAGACAGAGAGAGCTCAGCGGCAGCCCTTTGCAGCAGGCTGGTAAAGATCAATTGGCAAGTCACCCAGGGGCTGAAAGTCACCCAGGGGCTGAATGCACATCACATGTTCGGGGAGAGTCCAGGAGCTGGGGTGTGAG